TCCATTAATAATTATTGGCTCCATCTTGCATGGGTACAAAACAATTGTCGATCGGCCTCATCTTTTGTTTGTGATTATTAGAAAAGTAGACACGCAAATTAATGCACACATATAATTTTTTGTTCTTGTGCTCTCTATCTCTTGCCAATTTTGTCAGATATTCCTTTTGCTTCGGGGCAAAGGCAAGAAGGCTCAGTTCCTTTTTACGAGTAAGGATAATATTGCATCAATTGGTCGGCAAAAAAAGGAGTGATTGATTTTGGAGTGACAACCAAATAAGTGAGCAATTTTGATGGTTGTGAACTCATGATCAGCTCTTATATAAAAGTGTGATCATTAACACCATGCATCATTCATTGCCTACCCCATTGCCAAGAAGATATAAAGTAGTCAAATACTCCTCCTGTTATGGAGAATGTTAGGGAAGAATCTCCATTCACCCTTTTTTTTTTTATTTTCATTTTATGTTAAAAAATAATGTTGTATGAGTCGAGAGGAAATAGCGGAGATCAGAAATTCTATGGAGTCATCGAATGGTTTTTTTATGGATTCATCCATCACTTAATATATTGACACCTGTCCAAATTGTAGGACACGTGTCAATAAACTATTTGTGAACAAGTGTGGAATGACTTCATAAGTCGAGTCATCCGATGGTTGCATAGTAAAACTGGAATGGAGATGCCCACAAACATTATTCCATTTAATGGCACCCTTCTACCAAAGATCATAATATTCCAGAGAGAAAAAGAGATATGATGGATCATTAAAATATGAAAGACCAATCCTAACAAAAACAGAATCAAATAGAGATCCTAATAATTTGGAAAATTTAAGAAAATTGGCCTTAAAGAATAATTTGAAAGAAAAATCTTAAAAATAAGTAATAAAAAAAAATGGAATTTTTTAAAGGTGAATCATATTTTTATTCACCTGTTGGGAGTTTGATTCTCCCATTGGGAGCTTGTGCGTTGTGTGGTTCGGAGTTAGGCTACCCTGCGGATTGTCCTTTCAAAGAGTCCAGTCGTATAATTGCTCTTTTTGGCTGTTATCGATTGTTATTTGTTTGTAATTATGTGTTCTATTCATAAGTATATGTCGTTTGGGAAAAAAAAAAAAGGTGAACTATATATATACCTAACATTAGGGGTGGGCACGGTTCGGTTAACCGAATTTTTTGAGGTATTTGCTAATCGAACCGAACCGAGCAAATATTCGAACTCGCTAACCGAAACCGAACCGAAAATCTCGGTTAACCGAATTTTCGGTTAACCGAAAAAAATCCTACTATTCGCGAATTAACCG